ATGTTTTTGTATTTTTTTTTTTGTTTTTTGGTTTACCTCTGTCGCTTTGAATTGTCCAGGAGGATTGCATATCATGCTAATTGGTTTTTCTAGCGTCTCCGCGAAGTCACCGATCCCACATCGTCTCCATCTGTCCTTAAAGAAGAGAACCCATACCACCATCTCCGTATCACTGTTACCAGCGGAGGATGCCATGGGTTCCAGTATATGATGTCCCTGGAGGCCGCTTCCAAGATCGACCTGGAAGAAGACACCGTCTTCGAAGCAGAATACTCCCCTGAGGAAGGATCGGCTGAGGCCGCCGGCCAGGCCAAGGTAGTCATGGACGAGCCCTCTTTGGAGCTCCTGTACGGAAGTACTGTGGACTACACTATGGAGCTGATCGGCAGTCAGTTTAAGATTGTTGATAATCCCCGGGCGACGAGTAACTGTGGCTGTGGGACTAGTTTTGATGTGACTGATTGAAAGGGGGGCGATGAGATCTTGTATTTGTATATTATACTTTTGCATCTGGAGATAGAGTAATCTTTACTATACCCCCCTTCCCCTTCTCCTTACTTCTCTGCTCTTTCTTTCCTCTTTTCAATGGTGTTGGTGAGGTTTAGAGTGAATTGGAAAATTGTCATCATCTATTTCATCATGCGAATTCCTACCACATTTGTCCTCTGCTATCTAGCGTGTTGTTGTGCATGCTATGTTATGCACAGATCAAACATGTCGAACATGAACAGTAAGCAAACCAAGTATAGTTAAGCATCGAATACGCCCCAAACAAGCCTCGAGACTTTTGTAACCACCCCAAACCCGTAATCAGAGTAGAGTCCAAGGTTGCAACCCTGATGAAAACATGAACAACGAAAGAAAAAATAAAAAAGGGAAAGGGTAAAACAAGGGAAACAAAAGATAATTCATGATATTGCTGGGGACTGAGAGGTGAGATTATGGGATGGATTTTAACTTCCCCACTGCACTTCTTCACAACCGTTGGTCCTTTCACGCCTACTTCCCCGGGTTCTGCCTCTCTTTTTTATCTCCTCTCCTATCTGCGGTTTGGTCGGAGGGGCCCTGCGTTATCGAAGGGTACCTCTGTATGTGCGCAGTTGGGAACATAGCACGTATCTCAATATTTGAGTGCGTTGTCGCCTGTTTCCTTGACAAAGGATCAGACGCTTTAGTAGACGCGGGCGAGGTTCCGGAGGTACCAGTCCACCAGGCGACGGCCGGCCTTGGTCTCGCTGACGTGGATCAGGTCATTCTCCAGAGCGTAGTCCAGGTCGTTGGCGGCGACGGGCTCACCCTCCAGCAAACCGCCCTCCACCCAGCGGACCTGACGGCTGCGCTGCTTGTTCACCAACAGCCAGGAGCGGAGCTTCTCGGGCTCGACTTCCAGGAAGCCGGCCAGCTTCTGCAGGTCCATCGTGGTGTACAGCTTCAGGTAAGAACGGATGGTAGGGTTGTACAGCGTGTTCTTGACCTCATCCATGAAGATAGCCGTGTGGTGATCGACGGGGTCGACGTTGACAGATGGGTTGTCGAAGTCGGGGGGAGTGGGGCTGATGAACTTGGGGCAAGCGGAACGGAAGAGCTCCTCAAACAGGGGGAGGGCCTCGGGGCCACCGTGCTGGAGACGGTGGAGCTGCTCGCCGTACTTCTCGCGGAGAGCGGAGTGGATGGTGTCGTCGAGACGGGTGGGGTGAAGGGCAACACAGATAGCAATGAGAGCATACATCTGGTCGTTCTTCTTGGCAATAGCGTCGTAGCTGTTGCCACCCTTTTGGAAGTTCTTGGTCCGGGAGACGTAGACCAGGATGTGGCTGAACATGCGGATGGCATCACCGTAACGGCGCATCATCATGTAGGAGAAACCCACATAGTAGTAGGTGGTGAAGTGAGCTGCCATGACACGAGCGAACATAGCCTTCTTGTTCATTTCGATGTCGTCAAGGGTCTTGAGGGCAAGGCTGAAGTCACCCAGCAAGCAGTGGACACGCAGAAGTCCGATGATCGAGAAGTATCCGAGCATCTTGTACAGGGGACGAGAGCCATACTCCCCGGCGAATGCATGGGGTCCTCTCCACGTTTGATAGCAGCCAATTGCTCATTGATCTGGGACCTCTGGATAAGGGAGTAAAGAACGTTGAGCACGGAGTAGCAACCCCAGGTATTTGGGTTCTCACGCAAAAGCTGGGCCTCTTCCTCGTTAGAGCCGCTACGAGCGACACGGTTGCGGTAACGGCAGAACGATTCGAACTGGTAGATAAATTCATCGATCACATCCCAAGCCCAGTAGTACTGTTGGAAGGAAGATAGTCGTTAGCAAACTGTATAAGAACGGGCTTGGCGCACACAGTGTGTGGGGGCACGGGATATGCAGAAAGCAGAGCACATGTAACCCCCAAGGACGTCAAGCTAGCGAGCGAGTACATACAGAAGGGACCTCCAGTTCAACAGGGCCATCCGAGTTGAGGATGTAGTGGAAAAGGCTGCAGTAGTTGTCATAGCTTGCAAACTTGGTCTCCAGTGTGGCCTGGTATTCAAGCGGGGTCGCAGCAGCGGCGAGCTGTGCCTGGAGATCTTGCGTCTGAGATCCAGCTCCAAGGGATGTGGTTCGGTCCAGTTCGCTCATGCCATCGTCGAAGTTGACCTGCTCGCGGTAATCGTTGACGAGTGCTTCCTCCTCAACATCGGACTCGTCGCCCAGGTTAGGGTGCGCATTGGCGCGCTCTTCGTACGACATGTTGACAGGTAAAAAGTCTGCGGAGAGAACGGGGATGATCCAGCAAACGGTCGACTGAGGGTAGGGCGAGAGGGAGAGGGCACGTCGTTTGGCGGTAACTGCTCGGCGTCGGCGTGTGGGATTTCGATTGTTTCGGCGGCAGTTGAATTTTGAGGGTTTTCGCTTGGCCCCGATTTGTGCTTATCTTATCTGCGCATAACGGAGCTGATGAGTCATCTATGAACTGCTCGTCCATTATGGAGACAAACAGCGTCACGACGTATAGAAACTTTGAAAGCCCTGAACCTGCAACTAACAGCCATACAAGGCTCGCGATATTCTCATGAATTTATGGATAGATTGGAAAAGAAATTAGGGAAAAAAGAAACACAAATCCTGCGTATAAACTCTCGCGTCATACTCTGACAGTCTATAGTTATTCTGAGAAACTCTCTATCTCGTTTTTTCTTTTGGGTGGCTAGTTATGATGATATTGAGTTAATCTTTGGTAGTTATGCCAGGCTTCCTAGGGGATTTCCTCGGAAACCAATTTTGTCCTAGATAACAAACTAATAAACCCCAAAGTGAGCCTGGTTTTTGGCCACTGTATCTTAAAAGCTCTAGCCAACAGCTTGTCGTCGGCATGATAATCGGTCAATGATACAAAAAAAAGACGATAAACTCGGGGCTGTAAGGAGGCAACTAAGTGCTTATAAAATACTGCTGGACGGTTTGGTTTCGACCTTCGTGCAGGCCCAGAAACGGCAACGTAACGACAACAAACATGCTGTTGATCGCCTGATAGGATTGTTGTAATGTGGTAAGTAAGGTAAGATGCAGTCGTAGGCTGGTCAGCATGCGATTGGCAATGCCATGGATTAGGTTAGAAGAGCGTTGGTTCAATACTAAGGTCAATTAGCAAGCAACCTATTCAGATTTGCCGGCCCTTACCTGCAAAAGACAACAAGGGCTACCCTCCGCATGGGAGATCATGAATACTCTGGAGTAAAGGGTATGGAGTATAGTTGTCCAATGGTGTGGCCCCGGAAAACTCATCCAGCCGAGCTCTTCTCCATCTAGTCTCATAGACCCGTGACGAGGCTCTCCTCTCTTCTCCAACTCGTCCCTCTCTTCGTATCCCTCCCTTTTCTTCGCCCGAACACTTTTCATTTCAATTTCAACGATACACATGGCAACAAAAGAAGTACACCAAAGAGAAGCCTGCCAACAGCTTCCAATCTTATGAAAGAAATATGTCCCCTTACTGTCTGATCTCCCTTCTCTCTCAAACAGAGATAGTTGCCACCACTTATAGGTAGTCAACTAGAATGGAGAACCACCGAGCCTTATGTATCGCATCAGGATGATCGAAATGGAATGCTAATTCGCACAAGATGCTTCTGCATAGTGTATATACATACTCACCTTGTTCGACCGACGTACTAGCTCGCTTCACCGCTCCCTCGTGCTATACGCTTTCTCTTGGTGTCGCAAGAAGCAATCCCACATTCTGTACATAGTCGCCAAGTAAGCCGCTGGCTGATTGTCATGCTCTGGAGTTGATATACATTCCATGAAAGCCCGACTTATAACCACTGGGAAGATTCCAAATTCCTGTGGTCGAGCACTGTACCGGCTTCGGGGGGGAGTTTGATCCCCATGGACTTGGCTGTGGATTCTATGTTCGCGAGCATATCTCTAGCGAGGGAGAATCTCTTGCTGAAGGCCACTAGAAACCGACACAATTCAACAAATTCCTCTTTGAAATCATCTTCACACTCGTCCAAAGCAGTGAGTAAGATAAGGGAGCTTGCATTGGCAGGCTCTAGCATCTGGCCGGGAACATGTCTAAGCCCATATGCTTCATGGTATAGGAGGAGATAGTCAGCGATCTGCTTCGCTGACTGAAGTCGGATCAACCGAGCGTGGTTAACATCAGACGGAAGCAACATAGGGACAAAGTCCTCGTGGTTCACTAAAAATTCGAAGAGCAGGATGATGACATGATGGTATCTGATACTACAACAGTTACAGTCAATATTTAGCAATCGATTAGCCAGATGGACACTTTGCTCTTACTGCAGACTCAATACTTGCGGAACTTGTACAGTCTCCTTGTCAATTTTCAGTGGGCCGGGCAGGCCTCTCAGCCACGTCTCTAGGCGAGTGTACACAGCGCTTATCGCCCTACATAGGTCGCCAATATTCATATCGAATGCCCCATCAAAAAGCAAATCTTGCATGTTGACGACAAGTTCCGTGAAGCCCACCGTTTGGATCATGATCTCACGGAGTAAGGCAGGCTTCTTCTCGTATTCAATATGGTTGGAACGAGGATATGGGATCCATACAATGTCGTCACTGACATTGTCTCTCCCAGGAGGCTCGAAGATTGGTGGTTTTAGGTTAGCGGTTTTCCGACATTCCATGGACATTTGTCTGAAGAGAACGGTCAGCCAACTCAAGGAATACGCTCGGGTCACTTAAATACTGTACGAATTGAGAATAAATAGTCCCCAAGCAGTCGCTGCTCCAGCAGATCGCAGATCAATAGACGCGTCTCTCCATTTGCGGTGCCCCGTCCTCGGGGCCTGAAAAAGCCCGATATCTTGTCCAAGCTGCACGGCTTGCCTTAACAGCAGCCAGCTAACGTCATGCTTTCCTTTCAATTTCAGCCTTCAAATTGTCAGTTGGGCCTGCATATGAATGACATGGGAAAACGCGGATCACACATACACATGGCTCATCAGAGCAAGAGCCTGGATGTTGGCCAATGAAGGACGACCTTCTTCCGCTTTCCATAAGAGCTCTGCCTCATTAAAGAAACATGCACCTTTAGAGGCCACATCTCCGGGGATAGCAAAAACATCAGGAAAATCAGAATATGTCTTATCAAAGTTAGAATAGACCGCTAATCAGGTCAACAAGAAAAGACCGTGCAGAAGCACCATACATACACTTGCAATTGCTAACATGCTATTTACAAGGAAAGGGGTGCAGAATTCCGTATTCTTATTGCCCTCCCTCATATGTCTCAAAAACACTGTCTGATCAACGATTTGCGACAATGGATGATCCCATGTGAAGTATAAGGAGATCAAATGCGAAACGAGATGACCGTCGTCGGTAACGGTCGTCCAAGGCTTGACCGGCACTTGGAATACGGGGATGTCGCACAGTTTCTCTAGGGTTATTCGAGAGTGGGCATCAGCGGCCAAACGTTCCTGTTGAGCTATGGCATCATCTGTGTTTGCTAGGGGTTTGGCGTTATCGGAACTCGCGTCACTCAAGTCGGCTGGGGCATCCACAACATTGGCAACATTGGATAGCAGAGCGCTGCCGCGTATAGTCTCCAAGATATGGTTGACTTTGTCTTTATCCGAAGAGCGGAGTGACTCTAGCAAGGAATACAACAAGCCTCGATAGTATTCCAGCTCGCCAAGAGTGCGTCTAGCAGCGACCTTACGCCTGAGGTCGAGCGTCTCATCGAAAACGCATTCAGCGTCTGTGTTCTGACAGGCTTTACAAGGTGCGGGGCGTCCGGTGCACTGCCATGTGGAGAAGAGACGTCAGTGGGATGTCTGTTGAGACAAACAGAAATGAAGAATAGGATCTTTTCTCTAAATTGGTTGATCTGGGACATTGTTCTCATTCTTGAATGCAGGGGTGGAGGTTCAAGATCGTCTTACCTTCCGTTTCGCTTGCTTACACGGCAGGCAGGCCGTGGAATTTTTCCTCGGCTTCATGAGAGTGAATGGTTGTTTGTTGACGGGGCCGCGAGGCCCTGGAGCGAGCGCTGGAAGATGGTCCTCTGAAGTCATCTTAAGCCGCACATTTACTCTCCCAGGTGAAGAGGAAGATCATTGCTAATGTATAATTTCCAGTCTGCCTACTCTGCGGCGTGTCCAGCTAAAGAGATATCGGAAGAATCGAAAAGGACGGCAGCCTTATTTTAGATTTTTGACCCAGCAGGAACGATCGCAGAGTTGGGCAACATCAAAGTTATTATGGCTTTAAGAAGACCCCACCTGCTCTAGCCTTAGCTCCTTTCACAGTGGTTCAACACCTTCCGAGATGTCGATGTGATTTTTGGGCGCTTCGCATAGCAGCCATGTCTCGTTACGGCGGTTGTGATATCCCTAGCGGTCGGTGATTGCTATGAGCCTGCGTCTCCCGTATCTAAGGCTCAGATTCGATGGGAAGGGTTTCAGGTGCATATTACAATAAGAAACATCGATTGCGAATGACCCAAAGTGTCCCTCTGCAGGGGAAATGGTGACCGGGAAAAAAAAAAGCCCCCAAGGTAAAGACGATTGATTTAGAAATAGTGGTATGTGAAACAGGCCCCTTTTCTTACTCTAAAATGGCTGCAGCAATGCCTCGATACAGCTGTTGTCAGGCAGTCTGGAACCGTGACTAAGACCCATGGTACCAAGCTGAATGACGCTTGGATGCACGCAGATATGAAAACTGGTTCCTGTGGGCTTAGGCACTGACTCGTGGGCAGAAAGACTTGAGCCTGCTCATGCACGGGATTCTGCCGAGACTTGAGGTTCCTGATCAACAATTTACAAACAACCTCTCTTCCTATGCATTCTATAGGAAGTTCCGGACCACGGCTTCCGATGATGCACATGCAGCCCGTTGGGGCAGTAAGTCCTATGCTTGGTCTATTGGACAGGGGGGGCATGAAGTGGGTACTTGTCAGCCGGTCCTCCTTCGTTCTTGGCCTTGACATCAAGAATCCTTCAAACTCCGTCCCCAGAATCACCAAGGAGGTACCCGGTAGATGGGTGCACTCGATTCGGGTGGCGTCATTTCAGTGTATCGGAGTACCTAACCTATGTAATTATGACTTGATCACTCGGGATGGGCGACTAGTTTGGCCCTTTGCATTGTTGTGCATACGTACCTTACGCTACTTTGGATCTCCCGCTGGCGTGCCTCTATTGGGGACACGCGTATCCGGGAATGGAGCGTACATGCGACCGATTGCCAGATGCTTGTATAATATTTGCAACTAAACCCAGCAAACAACGGATTCAACAGGTTTGGGACAACCCGCACCTGACTGGCAACCAAGCAAGGAGCATTGTGATAGGACGAGTCCATGAGAACGGCCCCAGTCTAATTGAAAACTATAACCAATACAATAGGCGGAAAAGATCACCGAATGGACGATCCTCAAACAATGAGAGTTTGCCATACTCCCATCTCTCCTTTGTCCTACCCACGCAAATCCCGACGTTAAGATTCAGTCATTTCATAGTCTTACCAGCTCAGTATGCTTGAGCTTTGCCATCTCGATGTCGATCTTACATCAGCCCAGCCGATCTACACTGCTGGAATCGGGTGGCGAACTTTCTCGATGAATTTCCGCCGCAATTGTCATGTCCTATCAGGATTAGTTGCTGTAAGTATTTTCAATCTCCGCTTGCAGGGCTGGCTACGTCAGAGTTTTCCTCTTGGACATCCTGAACCTAGCCTGGAGACGTCAAACCAGGGGCCACCGATCCACGAGTGACATAAAAGTGGCGAACAAGCTCAGCTAGCCGGCGATCCGAAACCTGGGTCCAACGCTGGGCATCACGCGAGAGCCTATTAACTATGTGGTGCTAGCAGACCACGCGATATCATTCGCCATAGAGCCTCAACCTAATACATTGCAAGCTTTACTCTCTTCGCGATTCTCGTGGTTGGCAGCATGGCAAAGAAACAAAGGGCCCAGCCAGACCACCGACAACTACTACTAAGGTAGCTTAGTGACAACCGTCCGGCGAATCGGTACATACCGTACGGAGTACTTTGAACCGTAACTATTTGGGGCCTTTTCCGTCCCACTTCATTTTAATTCTCCTCCCATGCTTCAATGTTCATCATTCTGTGCTATCATCGCCGTATGTATGTTATGATGTATACTCGTAGGTTATCCTGCTTTAGGTCACAAGATCCCCGCGCCTTCTGCATGAATACCTTACCGAAAAGAGAAGAGATCCATCGGCATCACATGACCTCCGTTTACTTGGCATTGGCCAGAAAGCTCACTATAAAATGTTACTATGATATGAATAATTCCAGTCCCTGCATTGCTATTCTCAGGCCCTTCTATCCATAGAGTGCTACGATCACTACGGAGTAGTTCGAAAGTCATGGGCAGCATATAATATAAGCCTGGTACTTGATCGTCGACCGGTCATCTGCGGTCACAGCTAAGTCGAGCACGAAACTGCAGGGATCCACTGAGCAACGATCTGCTTCTACACAGTAAGCAGCATGATGCCAGACTCTAGTCGGTGAGAAGTGTCACCTCGATCCCGCGCATTCTGGGAGACACTGCAGGTAGTACTAGTTTGGTTTAGCCGATGCATATGCAGCTCAGACAAAGACTTAGATATGCAAGGACCGAGGTCTGCAGTAAAAGGGGTTTGAAAGAGCAAACTCGGAGCTGTAAAGGAGTATGTTATTGTGGGCGTGGAAGTGGATCTTCACAAGCTTGAAGCTCTGCGTCAGTCCAATGTGGTAATGAGCTTAATGGATTTCTACTATGACAGGGAGACAGACCCTTGATGCCTGCCAATATTTTGTTGAGGGGATTTTTCGGAGTCCTTTGGGACGCAAAAAAAATTATTTCTTGTTTGTGCCCCTGTTTTACAAGGTCTAAGTTAAATTAATGAAATCTTCCTTTGCACTCTCTTTGTTTAGTCTATCTCATCACTGCAAAGAGGCCGAGGTAATTGCACCGAGTATCTCGAAAGACTGTTGAACTAAATTTAATTTTGTTTCCTCCCTTTTGTTCTTCTTTCGAATGTTGCCAATGTCTTTCTTAGATTTCCAACCCTTGTTCTAGGTCTGATAACTATCTAAGCGAGGAGGGTTACATCTAATCTATAGACGGTTTGCTTACTACCAACGAGATTAGCCCTAAGTCAGATGCTTAGAGGAAATACAAACGACAAAGGCTTTGAATTGAAATACATGGAAAATTCAGTTTCACTGACAGGTCCCACACCTATCGATTGAATCCAGCCCACTCACTGCCTTTCCTGACTATGCCTTAGTATTTGGTGAAGAGCCCTTTTCCTGCGGGTTTTCTTGTATTCACTCCCATTCTGAGGGGACATGTAATCCTTTTCGTAGATTAATCGAGTTGGTACGCTCGGTTTGCCTACAAGACGTGCCCTTGAGTAAGTTCGAGGTAATTAAGACACATTTAGAGATACTCTATCGTCACAAATCCAGGATAAGAGTTACTACGATTGAGGTATATACGTAAACAGCTTCCTGGAAACCCAAAAAGGATATAGGTCTAGCCATGCGGAGGGTGCTCTCCCCTGTCGAGAAAGGCGAGAAACAGTAGGGGAACCATTTTGTCCCTGTACACAACCATCCGGTCTATATTTCTGAATAGAACTAGAGGGCCACGGCCAATATAGAAGTACAACGGATGGCTAGATCATGGATGAGAGGTCCTGTGACTTTATTGGTGATCGCCTTTGATTGGTTAGAAGGTATTGCCATTGACAGAGTAACCGGACTCAAAGTTGAACGAATGTTATTATGCATTAACTAAGTATGGCACCTGAGATAAGAAGCCTCGAATTCAACAACTAGTGCTTGATAGTGTCTTGTGCCTATCAGGTCACTCGTAGAGGAGCCTGAGTAGCACTAGCGCTACCCCAGGGAAGGACGGAGATATTGAGCCAATCCGACAAGAGATTCGATTCTGGTGGGTCATTCGAAATGCATCGCGGGGTTGAGCTTGATTGTGGTACCAACTTGAATATATCTCACTTCATTTACTCGTAGTACTTATTGCATTGGAGGTCTTATTCTTTGGTTCCTGAAAAACTCGCCATATATTATATACTTCATCCCGGTCGTCCCTTTCCAGCACAACATGGGATCCCGACTACACGTTCAAGAGATCAAAAAAGGCCCCCACTTCCCTATAAAGATGATATCAGAGCTTTCACGCGAGAGTACGCGGAATCTCTCGACGCACAAGATCCTCTCCGTCATTTCCGAGACGAATTCATCATTCCATCGAAGAATGACCTGGAGCGGAAGACTCTGAATGTCAACGAAAGTATGTCCTCTTTCCCCAACCCCCACCAGTGGTTCCATGTCGCTGACCAATTGTTATCTCAACATAGATATTGAGGACTCCTCCGACCCCAGAAGTATTTATCTCTGCGGAAATTCCCTAGGTCTTCAGCCTCGGAACACCCGGAAATACCTCGAGCACTATTTACGGACCTGGGCCATTAAAGGCGTTACTGGCCACTTTACACCGCATGATGACCAGCTGCTTCCCCCGTTCGTCGATGTCGATGAAGCCGGAGCAAAGCTCATGGCCCCCATTGTGGGAGCGCTCGAAAGTGAGGTGGCGGTAATGGGCACGCTAACTGCGAACTTGCATTTTCTGATGGCGAGCTTCTACCAACCAACTAAAGAGAAGTATAAAATCATTATCGAGGGCAAAGCATTTCCAAGTGACCACGTAAGTTCCTCTCCTTCACTACCACCTAACAATACCACAGAGAATAGTGCTAATACCGTCCCGAATCAGTATGCTGTGGAATCTCAGATTCAGCACCATAATCTCGACCCGAAGGACGCTATGATCCTTATCGAACCGGAAAACCTCGATCGTCCAATCCTAGACACCGAGAAAATCCTGCAGGTGATCGATGAACATGCCTCGAGTACAGCCCTTATACTTCTCTCCGGTATACAATTCTATACTGGACAGTATTTCGATATCGAGAAGATCACGGCCCATGCCCATTCCAAGGGTATCATAATCGGTTGGGACTGTGCCCATGCTGCAGGCAACGTCGATTTGAAATTACACGACTGGAACGTGGACTTCGCGGCCTGGTGCAACTACAAGTATCTCAACAGTGGACCGGGCGGAATGGCTGGACTGTTCGTCCATGAGAACCATGGACGAGTAGACATGACCAAGGTTGGTTCCAAGGATGAGCCTTTTCGTCCGCGCTTGTCTGGCTGGTGGGGTGACAACAAGAAAACACGGTTCCGAATGGAAAATAGTATGGACTGCTTGTATTCGCTAACTTGTTCTTAACTGACTTGGCTTGCAGGGTTCGTGCCTCAACCAGGCGCAGCTGGGTTCCAATTATCGAACCCATCTGTCTTGGATATGAACGCAGTGGTGGCGTCCCTCGAGATATTCAATCGCACGTCAATGGCTGAGATCCGTCAAAAGTCTTTGGACCTCACGGGTTACTTAGAACATCTCCTTTTGAAATATCCTCTCGATGCTGCCCCCGAGGACAAACCATTCTCTATCATTACACCCTCAAACCCGGCCGAGCGAGGTGCACAGCTAAGTCTGCGCTTAGGCCCAGGCCTTCTAGACAGCGTCGTAGAGGCCCTGAAGGAGAATGGAGTAGTGATCGATGAGAGAAAGCCGGATGTCATTCGGGTTGCGCCTGCGCCTCTATATAACACCTATGCGGATGTGTGGCAGTTCTGCCAGATCTTCTTCGATGCTTGCCAAAAGGCAGTAAGAGCTCGAAGGTAAAGGTTTTGAATATCAGATGATTTAATGTTTCTGACCTGCAATTCTTGGACATATATTGGATGGGAGCTCTGATGTTTGGATAAATATGCCAAATTAGCGTCGGTGACCACGATTATGACTACGTTTACCTTGCTTTGACTACCTGCAATGAAACTTCTAGAATCAGACCATGCTGACATCCCATCCTTGCAGGCTTACAACCTGAGAAGGACATTACCACGTTCTAGCTTGCTTCATGTTCTCTTGCCCTATCTCTGAGGTGAAGGAGCTGGCGCAGCTACCCCTTGCTGCTGGTCAAAACTTTCTTTGGCAGAACAGTCCTGGAAATTTCCAGCTGGCTTGGGCTAGAGTTTCAGTAGATCTCGAAACAGTTCCAGTGATCCGATATCGGGCGAATAAGACAAGCATCCAAGGCTGCTATTGCATAATACAGACTAAAGTGCCACTATATGAGAGCTACAATTTAGCCATTCCTTCAGCGGATATGATGATTGTATATGTGCTCCAACATATTATAATATATCTCGAATTGCATCACATAGAAGTGCTTTCATCTAACTTTCTTCAGTCGTTTTTTATCACCTATCAACTTAAGGCAAAATAAGCTCTCTCTAGAGGTTGCCGTTCAGACTCCCAAGCTAACCAGTCTGACCTTGTAGTTCTGTTTCAAGAAACCATGTTAGCTTTCCGTAGGGTAGATAATTGACAAGAACGCAGTAATTGGACAAGAGATAGCAGTAACATACGGTAGAAGACCCATCGCATTAACCTTCCACACCCCCAACGCCAGTAGCACGAATTGCATTAAAACATAGACAGCCTTCACTCCAAGTAGCTTTCCCCGTGTGGATTCCGTGTCGAATTTAGCGAAGACCGTGTTCGTGTTGATCAAGCCCTGGATTGGTCCCTTGAAGAGCATGAAGACCATCATAATACTGAAGATCTGAAGGCTGTTTCCGGACATGTACATCATGATCGCATTCATGGGGATCTGTTTCGAGGGTGCCATAGCAATCTCCCATGCTTTCTTCAGCTTCAGCGTATCGGTTTCCTCGGATTTGGATGCGGCGGTGGATGTGGATTGTTCCTTGCGCTGTGAGTCGCGGTTAGGTTAGCATGTTTCACCTTGAAGGAGGTGGCGTGAACTGCAATGGCATACGTTCTTTCCTCCTGCCTTGCTGCTAGAGAAGCCTGGAGGGTCAGGAATGCGGGATGCTGCTTTGGAAGGTTGCGGCGCAGGGGAGTTCAAGGCCACGGCCCAGTACGGTGGAGGGACGGGGTTGAGTGGTTCAGTAGCCATAATAGGTCGGAGGTTGGCAGAAGCTGCGGCAACGGAGAATATATTATAGAGAATTCATTCAAGGTATGAGGTGAGTTGCGGCAAGACAGCAAGCGAGAAGACTTGTCGGAGCGGAGGAAGGAAGTTGAGTAGTGGTGATGATGATGATGATCCGACACAGTAAATGGAATTTCTCCACAAGCGCGCGGAGTTGGCGGCAGCCGATCCACTCCTGAGTCTCGCCTGCTAAAGAACGAACTATCGTGGAACGGTTTCACCCCCCCGTTAAATGCTTTCCTCTCCTTTTAATCTGCTCTTGGGACTGGGAAGCAGTCAATTTTTACCACATTAAACCAGATCCGGCACACAGACGACCCCTTGGATGTTGCCCGTGCCGCATTGACAATCCACTGAAGTCTACCAGACAAGAGAAAAGGCATGGAGGTATCGGAGCAACAGATCAGCTAAGAATTTCTACGAAGCTATTCTAGCTACGCGATCGTCCCCATATTCGTCCCCTGCGATATCGTATGCGATTTCGATATTCGAAAAGAACCAATCTACACCAGAAAACCCGCTTCATCCAACGGAACAGGGAGGAGTCCCTCGTCTACCTACTGAAACGCCATCATGAGCTCCGGTGGAGGAGATGCAAAGCTGTTCGCTAGGGTACGTTTGTCTTGGTTTTTGCTGCTGCATCGTTGGGGTTTAGACCGTATCGATCGGCGGCTATCAAACCACTGGCTTATCATTGTCCCCTCATCCCCTCATATCGGTCGAACCACCTTCGAATATGGTTTGGTCTAGTCTTTTGACTGGACCACAGTCCCCTCGTACAATTCCGTGGCTTTTATGGCACAGACTGTGGTTTATCATGCATCATTTCCTCATGTCCTACAACTTCCCCCGGCCACACTCATTATCCAACATTCGTCGGACTTAAATCTGCCCTATGTTTCTTACTGTGATTCCTTATGCGACGCAACATGGCTTACCATCTTCCCGGTCTTCACAGGGTAAAGTCGCGGAGCTGCGACAAGAGCTCCATAGCGGCGGCAAGAAGGACAAGAACTACTCCGCGAAAAAGATCGCCCTCAAGAAGATTGTCGCAAACATGACTATGAGCAATAACGACATGGTGGCACTGTTTCCGGATATTATCGATTGTATGAATCTGCCAAGCTTGGAAATCAAGAAGATGTATGTTGGAACAAAGGCCGGCACATGCTGTGATGAATAACGATCACTAATACTTTCTGTTACATTCGGTTGCAGGTGCTTTCTTTTCTTGGTGAACTATTCGCGAATGAAACCCGACATTGCCTTGAAGGCACTGCCTATTCTCGTTAACGTACGGGCCCATATATTTCTTACATCTACAGCGAAGTTAGCTTAACCGGTGTGTTATAGGATATGGAAGATACAAATCCGCTTGTGCGAGCGCTGGCATTACGGACTATCTCATACGTCCACGTGCGGGAGTTTGTCGAGGCGACTGTTCAACCTGTCAAGCGTTTAATGGGTGATATGGATCCCTATGTCCGCAAGACATCCGCTTTCTGTGTCGCAAAGCTCTATGAGCATGATAGGAAAATGGTTGAGAGCTCCGACCTGATTGACAGGTTGAACCACATGTTGAAAGACGAAAACCCAACGGTTGTATCTAGTGTGCTTGCGTCTCTGACAGATATCTGGGGTCGGAGTGAGACCATCTCCCTGACTATTGACTACACAAGCGCATCGAAACTGGTCTCGATCCTGCCTGACTGCTCTGAGTACGTATCTCTACATCACGAATTTGCTCATGCTCCTAACGCTTTCCAGGTGGGGCCAAACGTACATCCTTGAAGCCCTAATGTCATATGTCCCTCAGGATTCGGCGGAGGCACTGTTATTGGCAGAGCGAGTAGCCCCTCGCCTGTCCCATTCCAACTCTGCAGTTGTTCTTACTTCCATCCGTGTTATTCTGTATCTCATGAACTATATTGCTGATGAGAGGCATGTCACTTCCCTCGCCAAGAAGCTATCACCTCCTCTTGTCACCCTACTATCCAAACCACCAGAAGTACAGTACCTGGCGCTTCGAAATGCCATTTTGATACTGCAGAAGAGGCCCGAAGTTTTACGAAACGATATTCGGGTTTTCTTCTGCAACTACAACGATCCAATCTATGTCAAAGTGACCAAGCTGGAATTGATATTCATGTTGACGACGAAGGAAAACATCTCGGTTGTGTTGGCAGAGCTGAGAGAGTAAGTTCTGGCCCCACCACGCTCAAACACTTAACTAAGAAGTGTCTAGGTACGCGACTGAAATCGATGTTCATTTCGTCCGTAAAGCTGTACGCGCCATCGGAAAATTGGCGATTAAAATCGAGTCTGCCGCGAAGGAATGCATTGATACTCTTCTCGAACTGGTCAATGCTAAAATCCCATACATTGTCCAGGAGGCGACTGTCGTCATTCGCAACATTTTCCGCAAGTACCCCAATCAGTATGAAAGCATCATCAGCCGTATCATTCAGAACATAGATGAACTGGACGAACCGGAAGCAAAGGCAGCTATTATCTGGATCATCGGACAGTATGCAGACCGCATCGAAAACTCAGACGGGCTTCTACAAGACTACCTAGCCACTTTCCATGACGAAACGGTTGAGGTACAACTCGCCTTATTGACGGCTACTGTTAAATTCTTTATTCACGCCCGACGAAGGGCCAACAGTTGGTGCCTCAAGTATTGAAATGGTGTACCGAGGAAACAGACGACCCCGACCTCCGAGACAGAGGCTACATGTACTGGCGTCTCCTATCGACAGACCCTGCAACCGCACGACAGGTCGTCATGGGCCAGAAGCCCCCGATCAGCGCAGAAAGCGAGAAGCTGGACTCTCGAACCCTAGAAGAGCTCTGCCTGAACGTCGGTACTCTCGCAACTGTCTACCTAAAACCAGTCCAGCAAGTCTTCCGCTCCGCACGTACACGGCGACTCCAATACAGCCCTGCCTTGCAGAAACCCCGCAACGACGACGGAAGCAATGCCTGGCAATACCCAGTTAGCCCGTCCTCCGCTGGCCCCGTTACGCCTACCTCAGCGGCAAACGGTGCAGCCCCGGCACCAGGCGACATGAACGCGGCTGTGAATGCTGCCGATTCCTACTTCAACAGCGTCGGTACCCAGCAGATGGCAGCGCTAGATCTAGGTGGTCGCGGAGATGGTATTGGAGGCGGTGGTGCGCCGCAGACGCAGTATATTGTCAGCCAAAATCAGCAACAGGTGTATCAGCCCCAGCTGGCTGGTGGAGCGGCTACGGGAGAGTTGTTATTGTTGTAATGTAGTATACTTAAATTCTGTTTCTGATTAGACTTTTCTCTTCTTTTCTACTCTAGCGATGTCAAACGCGGATTTGTGATACCTCTTTAATCATCGTGCCTTCTTCCCTGTTCGTGCCATATGTAAGATAAATTATATGAGGAATAGTCAGGGAAAGTAGCACTTGGATATCTGGTGTTTTGATTACTTAGGCCACTCTACACTGGATAGTCAGCAGGTTCCGAGGGAAACACCGCTAGTAGTATGACGACTGTGCTGGTCCGCTTGATGTGGGTGTTGTAATCCCTGTCTCTATACTCCGTACTTCGAATGTCGAAGATGGTTGTGGATATACCAACTAAATGGTTCATTTCTATTTGACTGCTCCTGCTGTGATTTAATGAGTAAAAGTAGGAATAGCGTCCGGCGAAAAATTGTAAACTACCCAGCAGAATAGTGATCCTAGTTTATTATCATCTTAAAGGGATATCATATTGTCCACTGAAAACATCACAATGAACGCAACGCATGGGAGAATATCTTATGAAATGGAGCAGCGAACAACCGTGAACAACAACGCCAGAAAGGACCGTCAAGAACGCTGGATGCAAAATACGGAATATGCGACCCTCAGCACTCCCGGGAGACAAGATAGAAAAAACGCGGCATCAATCCTCCATCCGAGAAAGCCCACCACGACTACGCTTGATTCGGTCATCCAGATTATCTTCCTGGAGCTGACGATGGAGACCTGCGACAAACCGACCCTTTTCCGAGCGCTGCTTCTCGTCTTCCTCACGTTGCTTCTCTTCCATAGCTGTAACATCGGCAATCCGTTGGCGACGAGTGTCTTCCATTTCATCTGCATTGGACAGCATCTCTGCCAGCTTGCGCTTGCGCTCTTCTTCAAGTTCTTTTGTTTTGTTCGTGTCTCCAGCCCCGGCGCCATTGGGACGGTCGCGGGGGTACGAGTCTCTGGGGCCTCTGTTGTCTCTCCTGTCTCTGTCGTAGTGGCGATAGGGCCTATCGCGACGATCATGGTCTCTGGAATAGTCGCCGTTCCTGTCATCTGTGCGACGCCTATCGGAATGACGATGATCGGCCCGAGGAGAAGGAGATCTGTCATGTAGCGAATCTCTGCGAGAAGACCGATCATGCCTCTCATCACGTTCTCCGCGTCTGCTCGAGCGATGATTCCTATCATCCCTATCTTTGCGATCACGGTCACTCCTACGCTCACGGTCCCGATCCCTGCGGTCTCGATCATCTCTTTCGTCTCTGTGTCTCCGATGTGACGACCGCTCGGGTGAAGCAGGAGACCTAGACCGATGCCGATGCGAGCGATGACGATGACGCCGAGAATCTCCTTCCTCGTCGCTATACCTCCTACTCCTCCTATGTCCACGATCTCTCTCCCTCTCCTTCTCCTTCTCGCCCCTAGCAATTACTTTCCCTCTCGCAGCCGCCTCCTTAACCGCATTCTCATACGCCGCCTGCTCCCGCTTCCGAATCTCCATCAACGGATCCGCCATAACCTTTGTCATCATATCCCTCGGATTCCCCGTCCCAACAACCGGCTGCGCAGCAGCAGGCGCGCCCATCAAATCCGCCCCCTTCTCCAATTTCTTGCTATCATCATTCTTCAACAGAATCCCATCAATGCGCCTCTTGCCGAGTAAATACCCTTCCATCTCCTCAGAGTAATGACCCGTCGCACTCGACGCGCCTGGTACATCCAGTCGACCCGATTATGCTGCCGCGGCTTTCCCGAGTCTTCTTGCAGTCGCTGGAGTTCCTGGATCTGGCGCTCCTCATCGCGCTCACGGCGGAGTTGCTCGACTTTCTTGCGTTCTTCGAGGGCGCGTTTTTCCTCTGACCATACGCGCTCTTGGTTGCGCAGGAGCGAGGGGTGCCATGATCTATATTTTTGTGTGTTAGTTTTTGGGTTGGGGTAGCTTGGCTTTAGAATTGGGATTTGGTTGTAGCGTATTGGCAATGTGTTGGTAGGCGGGGGAGTGTTTGCTTACTTCTTGAGATTGAGATCGCCACCCATTTTGACTTGTGTTGCAGGCGAGCTGCGGTTTGAGGAATGATGGGAGGTGGATTCAAATTGGTGGGTGGATTGAAACGCTTTTCTTTAAAGTTGATGGAAGAGCTTCCCGAATGGGAAGGATGGCGTTGCCACCGGGCCGATGTTGTTGCTTTGGTGCCTGAGGCTACAGATATCTAGTTTTATCCAAGTGAATACTGGAGGGTCTGTAGTCAAAAGCAGAAAAACATTAAGGAGAAGGACATTACTGTTTTAATTCAAAAGCCCGAATCCTTGCTGGAGTAAATGTCATGAAAAAGGAAATAAGAATGTATATCATTGAATGCTACAAGTTAAGGGGACGCATGATGCACATGTTCAAACACAGTGATTAACATCAATACATACATACAAAGAGCCGATAAGAACACGAAGGCTAGCGTCATGCAAGTCATCCTACTGGTAGATATGACTGCAGTTCATGTACCATGTGAAATTAGCATATACCAGAATCAAATCATTTACTCATCTTCTCTTCAAACAGTTGGGTTTCCACATGGTTCCCTGAAGGAATTGCGAAGGGAGACGAAATGATGAACAAACATAATGCCGCCCAACCCATACTATACCACGCATTATTCATCAGCTAGTCATTGCTGAAGCTAGCCGCACTCCCAGTCTACTACTGTCCAACTTCATTTGCCCCAGCCAACCCAGTTGCGAGGCATTACCCGCCAGACCTTGCACTCTCCACTGCGCAAATCATTGAGTTTGAAACTTTCCACCTTGACTTTCTTGCTTTCCCTACCCTGTTCCCATGCACGGATCTTCTTCTTGGTGCCATCCCAGTCAACAACGATGCCGACATGGTCAGGCTTGCCGACTTCGGTACTATATTTCTGATGCATGGTACCGCGGTGGCCTTGGAAGCGTGTGTTACGGAGCTGACAATATCACCGGCACGAATTTCATCATTCTGCTGCACGGACGCATTGGCTAAATTGGAATAAACTAAGGCACCGTAGGCACGTGTGCCGACAGGGTGTAGGGCATCTGTGAGGGGACTGAGGAGGTGCTGAACTAAGCCGAATGGAGTGCCATCTGCAACAGTTGTATTCTGGATGCCATTCACAGCAGTGGCGATGCGGGTCCCAATTTGAAGATGTGCATTTTCGAGCTGGTCCTGGCGAGGCTGGAGAGGGGGAGCTTCATGGCGTTGCTGCAGAGTCGCATCGGAAGGATTCCGGGCATCGAAGTTCACGGTAATTATAGTTTGAGAGTAGTCGATGAATAGAATATAGACTTCTTTGGTAACCGTGGTGCTTCCGCTACGATTTGCAGGACCGGAATCTTCGAATTCAAACAGAACATCTTTCCTGTTTTGGAAGGCAGGAGGAGGATTATTTGGTTGCGCCCACCATAGCGTGTGTTGGGCCAAATCAACATCCATGGCAATGTAGCCCTGATCGACGGAGGGACGGCTTATGTCCATAGATCTCCGCAAGTTGGATGGGCCTCTCGAAACATCCAAGGATGCACGATTGCTCCGTGATGTGGGCGGAGGTTGAGGGGCAGCGCTAAGGGGAGGCATGCTGGGAGGTTGTGGAGGCGCCATTGAGCTACGCGTTTCAGGTGACGTAGGAACGGGAGGCAGAGGCGGTGATTGTACTGGAGATGCTTCATACAACTCGTCCGAATCGTCTCCAACATTTTCTGGCTGGGCAATGGGTGGCACTACCGATCGTCGCTCGGTCGGTGCGGGTGGAGCTCTCGGGGAAGGCAAGCCATGTTGGGGCGCAGAGTAACGGTAAGGATCGTACTCATCGTCATCGCCATAAGATAGCTCCCTGTGGGGCGGGGGCGGAGGTGGAGGCGGTCCTCTGGGAGACTCCATGGAAGCTCTCCCAGCGCTTCGGGGGGGCTGAACAGGGGGTGGTGGCGGGACTGCTCTGGGTGCGGACGGTGGAGGCGGTGGTGGGAGACGGGCCTCATGGGGACTTCGCGGTGACTGGAGAGAATGATCATCGTTTATGGTGCCTTCATCAATGCTTGAATCACGCCCATGAGCTTTCAATGCATCTTTGAACTTTGCTCCAGACGCAATGTCTGTATCATAGTCACCATCATACTCCGTGACCTCGCCTTCTACTTCTTCTCCAGCTTGGCGAGGCTGGGAGGCTGCGCTGACACGGCTATCAGCGGTTGATCTGCGACGGAGATCACCCGGAGGTGGAGGCGGTGGCCGTGTTTGCGACGGGATGGGAGGATTTGCCGGGATGGGTGGGGGCTGGCGGCTGAGTCTCTTCTCTGAAGAAAACGTTGGTGATTTCGGGGACGTGATATCGTAAGTCGACAAACGACGCGAGTCAACATGATCAGGAATTGGAGGCGCTGACACCGATGGAGGAGAGGCAGACCTATCGGTTGCCGCAGCATTCAAAGACAAGTTTTGAGCATGGACGGAAAGCTCATCATCCGACTCCTCACCCGGGTCGCCAGATGTGGAGCTCTTCGTAGGAGGAACTGGACGGGCTGTTCAAGGAAGATTAGTATGGGCGAAGTAACCTAGATAGAATAAGAGATTCAAACTTACGTTCAGGCACCGGGGGAGGTGACAGGGGCTGACCCTGTGGAATAGGAGGAGGAACAGGCCGTGTTTCCAGAGGCGGAAGAGGAGGTGCAGTACGCTCTACATGACATGCTTTGTGAGTCTTGGGAGTCATACAACATGAGATAGGAAACCGGTCTTCATACCTTTAGGTACAGGTGGTGCCCTGCCTGATGAGACAGGACGAGGAGGTTCTTCTGGAACAACCTCCTCAACGTCAGGAACTTCTTCTGCAGGATGCTGTTCGGCTAAAGGAGTAGTTGGAGCCCCTTCTTCCTCTTTTTCTACAGTTGGAGGTGCAGCCGGTCTGGTGGTATTCATTCCTGGAAGAGCCATAACAGGAACTGGAGGTGCAGCAGCTGGCGAAGTCGGCTCCGCGTCTCTATCTCTTCTCTCGGGTTCCGTGGTCGCCTTTGGCTTACGAGGGGCCGCGCCAGGAAGAGGCATACCGCCGGGAGGGCCAAAAAAGCCCATCATGCCCATTCCACCACTCATTTTTGCCATCCTTTCGCGAAGTTCCATCTTGCGTTTGACCTCAGGGTCGATCTCTTCTTCTTCTTCTTCCTCTTCCTCCTCCTCTTCATTTTCATCGGGCCTGTCCTTCTCACTTTCTTCTCCCTTCTGTTCCTGTGGTTGAGCCACATGGCGAGATTCAGCACGGGCACGCTCGTCGTAATCTTCTTTGCTTGTAGAAGTCTCCTCCGCATCTTCAATATCAGCGGCAGCGGAGTCGTCAGCGTCGTTGGCGTCACTCGCCGGCTCGCGTACAGGTGGCGGAGACATAGGTGGTTGTGGCACAGGTAAAGTATCGGGCTTAACAGTATCAACACTGGGATCACGCCCAGATTCCATCAAGCCTGGTCTCTCGGCACTCGGCTCCTCTGCTGGTGCGGCTCCCTCATATGACTCTGCGCGCTTCTTCGGAGGGGGCTTCTTCGGCTTTTCTTTCTTCTGGGCAGCTTCAGCATGGCGTGCAGCTTGCTCCATTTGTTGCTTCTGCAAAAGAGCTATCCGCTCCTTCAGAGATGTCGGCTTAGGCTGGTCTTCCTCCTTATTCTCAGTCGTTTCACTCGGCGCAGGTCGACTTTCAGAAACGGGCGGCTCACGCGGAACGCTTTCCTGGACGTCTGGATCCTCTTCTCTTTTGTAGACCTTGGGAGGAGCCTCCCTTGGTGGGGGTACATAGGCATTCTTGCTAGGTGGTGGGGCAACAAACGGTTTCTTGATAAACGTATTAGAGCCCCCAGAGCTCCAACCCCCCGGCTTGAAAGGTGCAATCGGAGGCGCTGCTGGTTTATTAAATGCTGCGATACGATCTCTGAATGAGGACGAGGCAGGTTTCTCAGCAACCGCAGGTGGCGGAGGCTTCGGCGAAGCTTTTGGAGCCGGCTCTTTCGCTTCGGGGGAAGACGGCTGGTAAGCTGGAGCAGGCGCCGGCTTCGGCGGGGGCGCAACCTCACTAGGCGAAGGTTCTGAAGGAGGAGGAGGCGATTGGGGAGGGTTTGGGATACTCCTTGGCACATCGACAGGGGCCTCCTCTACTTCTGGCTCCGGCGCGGGATGACTCTCAGCCGGACTCTCGACTGCAACAGGCGCAGGCGGAGGGGCGACATCGGCTTCCTTCTTTGGCCTACTTGGGCGCGTCGGTCGCGGAGGAGCGGGGGGCTCATACTTTTCCACAAAATTCTTTGGGAAGATGCCTTCTACCTTGCTACCCGATTCGTTTGTGTATTCGCCATAGTACCACTCTGCATCTTCCTCCGCAGTGACGGTGATAATTTGGCCGATTGAAAATGTCAGGTCATCCTCGTGGCTCGACGAATACTCGAAGACCGCTTTGACCGTGAATGGTGGGTTGGACATTTGGCAAGCCGGGCCCTATCGCAGAGATGAGGGACAATATGTAAATACTAAAGGTTCGGCAGATGAGCATTAACCAGACCGACACTCAATATTTGTATTTAGTGAAGCACCAACTTATGCAACCTTCATGCAAAGGGGCATATGTAGAGGTGCTTCACGGGGAATAGGAGATTAAAGGAAACTAGTTAATACCAACCAAAATATGTCAGCCTGGTTGACGTACGTCACAGCATAACCTGGGGCTGGCAATGCCCTCCCAAAGGTTATGGTTCAATGAAGATCACTTACTGAAGCTGAAGGTATCAATTCCTGCGGGATATAACTTCAGGACAAATGCCAAGGAGGGGAAGAAACAAAGGGATGGGGACATGAAAGAGGAAAGTGAAGGGGAACGAGGAGACACGGAGGTGTAAGGAACACAGACAACCGTCGTCACCTTTTGGCGGGACAAGTTGCTCCACCACGGGGCGATCAGCAGCTAATAATATTCAAAGACCTGCCACACCACGACTCACTAACTGCCCAAGTGTTGATGATTTGGAGATTAGGTATGTGGAGGGGTAAAGAATTCTGATGGTCGCTCACATGGCGGTCAGATTATGTCTCATCTGGCACAATTTCTTGGATCAATTTACCATTCAAAACGATCTCATTTCCTTTAAGGGGGTTTTAATTCATCCTACTAAGGGAGTGGCATCCGTCGTCATGGGTTTGATTTGAATCTGGGGTTTGCCTCCCGACCCGGAAGCACCACCTCACTTTCACAACCCTCTCATGTCCAACCATTTTGCTTTCCCTCCACACCACTGACAGAATTACCTTGCAAAATGTCCGCCAGTCGGTCCAACTTGAAGACCTCCCTTCCTTCGGCTCATGCTGCTTCCACCCAGGCTTCGTCCAGCATGCGCCGCGCGCCCAAGTCCAATATATCGCGCCAGCAAAAAGGACAGCCCACGAACAAGCCAAACACTGATCCACGTCACCTCGCCATAGCTTTACATCATGCGCACCGTATTCAGGCTCAAAAAGATACCGAATCTCTTATTTTGGATCGCATTCTCGAACTCGTCACGTTTCCGTCCTCGCCTTCTGCGGATCCTGCTTCTCCGTCACCTGAAGATGCCCAGGCTTTCAAATCAGCTTTGATACCCTTCCAGCCAACAGACTACGATAATTTGATCCAAGAGCGGAATATTGAGGGTCTCTGTGGATACGGTCTATGCCCTCGCGAGCACCGTAAGGACGACTCTCGTGGTACTTATCGCATAACGTGGGGTGCCAAAGGGAGTGGTCCCGGTGGTCGGGGACGGGATATGAACATAGTTCCTCGTGAGAAGCTTGAGATGTGGTGTTCGGATGAGTGCGCTGAACGAGCTTTGTATATACGGGTACAGTTAGCCGAGGAGCCGGTATGGGAAAGGCGTGCCGATGACGCCCGGGGCAAGAATCTTCTCTTGCTTGAGGAGGGGAGAGCAATGGCGCCAGGAGGGAAAGGTAAGGCGAAAAGCTCTGCGACGGTAGGGGAAGTTACTGGTCAATTGGACAATTTGCATATGAGCACCACGCCAGGTTCGAGCAACTTAGCAGGTGACATGTCCAAACTCTCTGTTCGTGATGTTGCTCACTCCCATGAGCTCGCCTTGGAACGCGGGGATGCAAACCCGGCATTACGGGCCGGGCGAGTAGATGTCCGGATCCAAGAGAAGGATGATTTAGCTTATGAACACGTCACAGCACCAGAGATGCGCCCAGGAGACGACAAAGGAGGATCTATTGAAGGCTACACGCCTCAAGAATTTTAGGTGGGGAAAGGGAGCGTTCTCTATCATATACCATTAAATTTGTGACTTATACAGATCGAGCGTTCGCAAAGTTGATGATACCCAAGCTGTCAACTAGATGTACTACTAGGCAAATGGAATACACTGTTTTAGTGAAGACACTAGCGTTTCTTGCCATGATCCTCGTTATTTCTATCTGGTCAAGAGCCAGACAATGTTAGAGCAACGAACGAGCTTCATCGACTTAGAAGGTTCTGACCAGTTAACGCGGACTTGGGGATAGGCCGCGTCTATACTGGAATTACTAATACTGCGAACTTTGCGGGGCCTCCTACACAGTATAGCAACTGTACGGTGGTAGAAACAGTTGCCTCTTACTGGTCAAGTGGTAGACGTAAGCAGCTGAATTTAGATTAAATGTTCTGTAAACTTAGAATGCCGAACTCCGACTTAGTTGCGACGTCATGTCTTGATCTCGGGGGTAATGTATCAAGGAACTGCTAATCTCCACCAAGGTTGGGACCTTAGCTTTGACTCATATATGTACAAATAGAACCGTCGTGGAACTTGGTAGCTGGCGGCGTAAACAGCCGGACTTAATGTTGACTCCGCCAAAACCCCGTCATTCCGCTACAAGCTGACGCAAATCAAATGCCCTATCATATTCAGACGATAACTGCGCTGGTGGACCATGGTGGGGGACAAATACGGATAAACTGGTGTTAAGGAGGGGTACATCCCGTTCTACTCAAAACTATATAAAGACGGACGTTCCTCGCTCAGCGTCTGTTGCTACTGTAAACCTAAGCTTGAGATAATAAAACAAACTTAGCAACTACAATAAAACTGCAACTGCAACCATGGTGAAAGTGCTCTTGACCGGTATGCCATACAACCCTATCAGGAGCGCAATTCTGACATACATATATAGGCGGCAGCGGATTCATCGCAGCTCATATTATTGATATCTTGCTGCAGCGTGGGTGAGTGTTATAAGTTTCGACTGTCAATCTCCTGGGGCGAATCACGCTGACCCTGACTGTCCCTGGTTAGATATGAGACAGTAGTGACAGTTAGATCTGAAGATAAGGGAGAAAAAATTCTTAACGCTCACCCCAATACACCGAAGGAGAAACTTTCATATGTTATTGTCAAAGATGTCGCAGAAGAAGGCGCATTCGACGAAGTGAGTTCCATAGCTCATCCTTCCTCCTCCCAACCATAGTAGTGCTAAAGCATCATACCGTCCAGGCCGTTAAATCTAACCCGCCCTTCGACTATGTCCTCCATACTGCCTCTCCTTTCCATTATAATGTTTCAGACCCGGTGAAAGATTTCCTGGACCCAGCAATCAAGGGGACAACTGGTATCTTGAAGGCAATTAAAGCCTACGCCCCATCAGTGAAGCGTGTCGTGGTTACGTCCTCTTTTGCTGCAATTGTCAATGTCAAGGAACACCCTAAGGTCTACAGCGAAGAGAACTGGAACCCTGTGACCTGGGAGGAAGCAATGGACCCTTCCCAAACCTACAGAGCCAGCAAGGTAAGCCAAAACTACTGTATTGGTATTAGAACTACACATGCTGATAAGGAATGAAGACATTTGCCGAGAAGGCCGCCTGGGACTTTGTTGAGAAGGAGAAGCCAAACTTTGACATTGCGACGATAAATCCTCCTCTTGTTTTGGGGCCTGTTGTGCCTTATCTGAATTCACTAGACGCAGTCAATACTTCGAACAGCCGTATTAGCAACTTGGTCCGTGGTAACAACAAGGACGGGCTACTTCCAACCGGAACTTTCCTTTGGGTAGATGTTCATGACGTTGCATTGGCCCATGTGAGAGCAATTGAGGTTTCAGAAGCAGGTGGACAAAGATTTTTCCTTGTCTCTGGCTCTTATGCGAACAAAGACCTTGCAGATATCATCCGCGAAGCATATCCCGAACTTGAGGAAAAACTGCCCCCTAAGGATTCCGCTAGTGACCTGCCAGCCAACGTCTATGGCTTTAACAACAAGAAGTCTATTGAGGTATTAGGCATCAAGTACCGGTCATTGAAGGAGTCGGTTGTCGATACAGTCAAATCATTGTTGGAGGTTGGTGCATAATCATCGAGACTAGAATAGAGCTCGTATAAATGCTTCAAATACAGTGATATGACCTGATTCTATACAAGGCTCAGGAGGCCTACCGGATGCCTTACTAAACTCTTCTACGGAGTAAAATATAGCAATATGTTGGAGCAGCCGCCCATGAGAAGGCGAATTCACCTCTCACAGTGAATGTAAATAGATCACACTCTTCCTAGGCATCATATTGGTTATGACATCCATAGAGTAAGTAGATCAGTCCTGTCACTTCTAATACGATGCATCGATAAACGAGTAGATTGATGGAGTAAGAAAAGAGGCTTGAACTGTGTAAGGCTGTCACGTGCTTTGAATTCGTCTCCCTTTGTAGGTAATAGTTCTGGCTGTTCTTAATCATAAACATCGGGTGCTGTTTTCCAAACACAGGCACATGAAGCATACGTAAAGACTGCCTTTAATAAGGGCAGCGTAGCGTAAGAATAAAGAACAATCTATTTGGCAAAGGTGTATATGGAACTGCACTTTGTGCTGCTGCGGTTGACCGAACCATATAGGCTTGGCACGCGGCTAGTCTACGCGACCAACTTTTCTTCTCCAGCATACTCCGGAGGAAGAGCCACCAAGACGTCGCAATTGTCCATTGAACGCCATGGCAACAGCCCGGCTATCTCCCACAGCAAACCTGCTGCGGAAGTCTCGTCTGTTCGCGCTCCCGCAAGCATTAAAACCACCTCAGGATCCGCCAACCTCAAAGGTCGTCTTCGAGTCCGACACCGCAACCCTTCCTCATCCTACCCGAGCGTCCATTGTTACCCCGGCATCATCGCTAGCAAGAGGAGATTGGGGTCTCAAGAGATCGTTGCCTGCAAAATCTACGTCTGCTAAATCATCCAGGCCTGTTGTGAGAGTGAATGCTCTCGACACGTTTGAACATGTTACCGACTTCGAGTCTGCGGCCGACCATACGGTGACCCTTGAGAAATTCCAGGAACTCCATATGCCTCTCTCTTTACCTTCGAAAGTCAATTACGCAACTAGTATTGTTCCTAGGCACCAGAGCCCCTTCGAGTCGTATGTGGACAACACAGATACTAGCAAAGGCCTTGAAGAGACCGGCGCCAAGCAATTTAGGCACTCCGGGCCCTGGCTGGCTGGACAGACGGAGGCCGAATTCAGTGCCTACCTGAAGAAAGTGCGGAGCAATAAGCCAGCGCTTTTGCAAAAACTCCGCCAGCTCTTCTCTGAAAAGCGAACTGCTGAGCGGAGAAAGCAAGCTCAAGATAACGGAGAGGATCTGCAGGCGCTTGAGCCGGTAAAGGTTACGGAGGAGGAGTTCCAGACCTACCTCAAGTCATTACGTACAGATCCTTTCTCCCTTGGCCCCGTGGTCTTTGAGTTATTGGACCTGCCCTCGCCCCCGGCCGTACCGAGCGACCGAATTGGTCACAAATACTACCAATCACCTGGAACCAAGCTGTCTTCGGCAGAATACGCTGTATCCGGTCCTCCCAAGACTCACCCTTCTGCCGGACTGTCATACACACGGTCGCATGCTTTAATCTACAATCACCCCAAGTTTGGTCCTCAGGCATATCAGCGTCCAGTGGAGGCCCGTATCTTGCGACCAAAGGGTAGGTTCAAGGGCAGAACCTCCAAGGCTATTGCGGGTGTTGGTGGTATCGCTGTGGAGGACTTGAATGCTATGACTTTCGTGGAACAGGGCTCTCCTCCGGGCCTAGCCTACTTTGACGTATCTATCCCCGGTGGTGCCAAGTACTGGGTCACTCCTATCCGGGCTTCGGTTGATTCGGAGGGTAGAATTGGCTTAGCATCCTACAGAGCTAGTGCCACTGCGAAAGCTCCCTACAACATTGAGGATTACAAGAAACCCTCCCTGACAACCATATCCGATGTTGCTCGTGGTGATCAGCGTGTCGCCCCGAGACTGGACAAGCAAAAGCCACGTTTTAGGCCTTCGAGAGAACCGCAGCATACCACCGAGGATATCGCCAAAAACCTGATGAAGACTCTTAGCTCCTCATAAGAGAGTACTACCAACTATTTTCAATTTTTTACAAGGTTTTGAGCAGAGAGAACAGTTGGTTGTACGATTAGACCATTGGACGATAAATGTAAAATTATTTCTGTGCCCCTTCGATTTGTGTTATAAAGCATGTCATTAGTATTATATTCTTTCTGTGAAAATTTAAATTCTCAAATCAATTCTTACATCTATGAATTGTAATACGACGATCCATACTCCAAAGGTAGCAATTGCTTACGATTTAGTCACCCGCAATTGCACAAGCTAGGAGACTTTCTCATAAAAGGGCTTTGTGTATCGTAAACTAAGACATGATACCTTAGCATGTGATTTTGAGAAATGTCGGGCACCAAAATCCTGCAACTGGGTGTGTGTAAACATCCTTATTCAATGCAAGGCTGGCAAAAGGTGGACGAGGGGCAACGAGCACAACCGCTGTCGGCTCCGTACATATCATGAGAGAACCACATTTACAGGAGAAAATTCCGGTGGAGCAAGGTAGTATATTTAGATAGACGCAATAAGTACGGGCAACCCAGGGTGCATCCGATATTATATATGATATCAACCATTGGAAGCATTTGACGGTATACAGTCGCACCCAATAACTAGTTACCCGAACTACTGCATACATAAGCGCAACGGCAAGCCAAGAAGATGCCCCAGGCCAGAAGCGGCTTGGCCCGTGCATCACCCGGAAGGCCCTCAAACCGCACCTCCCACATCATTCACGACGCCCATCAACTACTCTATATCTCATGCTCAACCCGTGTCATCGTACATGCCCTAGAGGTTGACTTCAAATGTCCACCCTGGGGTGTGCTACGCAAGTATGGCGCAAGCAGGTCCTATTACGGACGTCACTCAACGACTCTTCGTTGAGTTGAAGTCTAAGAATGAAGAAACGCGGGTGAGAGCTGCTTACGAGCTTTACGATAATGTCCTTGCTATCTCTCGAGGTAACACCTGATTCCTGGCCGTATCTTGGGGGATGCTAATATCATTACCCTCACCATAGATTGGCCTCCGGAGAAATTTCTTGAATTTTATAATGCCGTCAGCCAGCGCATTGCACAACTTGTCGTCACAGGCAGCGACGCAAATGAACGAATCGGTGGCCTACTAGCGCTGGATCGTCTGATAGATTTCGATGGAGTAGACGCTGCCCAGAAGACTACCCGATTTGCCAGTTATCTGCGAAGCGCTCTCCGCAGCAACGATAATGGAGTGTTGGTATACGCTGCCAAAGCTCTGGGCCGTTTGGCTAAACCGGGCGGAGCTCTTACTGCGGAGCTTGTTGAGAGTGAAATACAGTCGGCCTTAGAGTGGCTTCAGTCTGAAAGGCAAGAAAGCCGACGAGTTGCTGCCGTACTCGTTATCCGCGAACTCGCCAAAGGGTCCCCAACACTTCTATACGGCTTTGTCCCCCAAATCTTCGAGCTCATCTGGGTTGCGCTTAGGGACCCGAAGGTGGTTATCCGAGAAACAGCCTCAGAGGCAGTCAGAGAATGCTTCGAAATTATCGCTGCTAGAGACTCTCAGGTTCGAAAGTCGTGGTTCGCACGGATTTATGAAGAAGCACTCCAGGGCTTGAAGTCTAACAATGTAGACTGGATTCACGGGTCACTACTGGTCCTTAAGGAGCTTCTTCTCAAAGGCGCGATGTTTATGAATGAACATTACAGGAATGCTTGTGAAATTGTTCTTCGTCTCAAAGATCATCGTGACCAAAAGATTCGCGCACAAGTCGTTTTGACAATCCCTATCCTTGCCTGCTATGCCCCAGTTGACTTTACAGAGACGTACCTTCATAGATTCATGGTCTACCTTCAAGCACAGCTGAAGAGGGACAAGGAGCGCAATGAGGCATTCATTGCTATAGGAAAGATTGCCAATGCCGTCGGTGTGGCTATTGCGCAATACCTCGATGGGATCATCGTTTACATCAGGGAGGGCCTGGCCATGAAAGCCAGGAACCGTGCTGGTGTTAATGAAGCGCCAATGTTCGAATGTATCAGCATGTTGGCATTGGCTGTAGGACCGGCGCTGAACAACTACATGGAATCATTGCTAGACCCAATCTTCGCGTGCGGGCTAAGCGAATCATTAACTCAAGCACTTTTTGATATGGCTCATTTTATCCCACAAATTAAGCCTACTATCCAAGAAAAGCTATTGGATATGCTGAGTCTGATTCTTAAAGGAGCCCCGTTTCGGCCTTTAGGTTGCCCAGAGAGCAGACTGCCTCCTATTCCATCATTTGCGAAAGATTTCGCCTCGCAAGAGCTGCATTCGGATGCAGAGATAGCACTAGCACTTCACACTCTAGGAAGCTTCGATTTCTCCGGTCACATACTCAACGAGTTTGTTCGTGATGTTGCCATCAACTATGTCGAGAATGACAACTCTGAAATTCGGAAAGCTTCAGCACTTACCTGTTGCCAACTATTTGTCCATGATCCAATCATCAATCAGACTAGTAGTCACTCGATACAGGTCGTTAGTGAAGTCATTGACAAGCTTTTGACGGTTGGTGTCGGCGATCCCGACTCAGAGATCCGGCGTACAGTCTTGTGGTCCTTAGATCGCAAATTCGACCGCCACCTTGCACGCCCAGAGAATATTCGTTGTTTGTTCCTTGCGGTCAATGATGAAGTCTTCTCCGTCAGAGAAGCTGCCATTTGCATCATTGGGCGCCTTTCAAGTGTCAACCCGGCCTACGTATTCCCGCCTCTTCGAAAATTACTCGTCAATCTTCTGACGGGGCTTGGATTTGCCAGCACGGCCCGCCAAAAAGAAGAGAGTGCTCAGCTCATTAGCTTGTTTGTCTCAAATGCAACAAAACTTATCAGGTCATATGTTGATCCTATGGTGACCACTTTGCTCCCAAAAGCGACTGATACTAACCCCGGTGTTGCTTCGACTACCTTGAAAGCTATCGGTGAACTTGCCAATGTCGGGGGAGGCGAGATGAAGTTGTACCTTCCACAGCTGATGCCTGTCATCTTGGATTCGTTGCAGGACCTCTCCTCCCATGCCAAACGGGAGGCAGCCTTGCGCACACTGGGCCAGTTAGCCAGCAACTCTGGATACGTTATCGACCCGTACCTTGAATATCCTCACCTCCTTGCTGTGCTTATAAATATAATCAAGACGGAACAGACGGGTTCTCTACGGAAGGAGACAATAAAATTGCTGGGTATTCTTGGCGCCTTGGATCCGTACAGGTACCAGCAAATAAGTGAAACTGCGCCAGACATTCACCATATCAATGAAGTCCAAACTGTCTCCGACGTCGCTTTGATTATGCAAGGGCTTACTCCTTCCAATGAAGAGTACTACCCAACGGTAGTCATCAACACGTTGATGCAGAATATACTACGCGAAAACTCTCTCGCACAATACCATTCAGCGGTTATTGATGCCATCGTCACTATCTTCAAGACACTGGGATTGAAGTGCGTGCCATTTTTGGGGCAAATAATCCCTGGCTTTATAGCCGTAATAAGAGGATCACCCCCGAGCCGCTTGGAGTCGTATTTTAACCAGATGGCAATATTGGTCAATATTGTGAGGCAGCACATCAGGGCTTTCCTCCCTGAAATTATTGAAGTTGTTCGCGATTTCTGGGATGCATCATACCAAGTTCAAGCCACGATATTATTGCTTGTGGAGGCCATTGCTAAGTCTTTAGAAGGCGAATTCAAGAAATACATGGCGGGCCTCATTCCCATGATGTTGGATACCCTCGAGAAGGACAACACACCACGTCGACAGCCTTCAGAAAGAATACTTCACACCTTCTTAATATTTGGCACCAGTGGAGAGGAGTACATGCATTTAATTGTGCCGTCTATTGTGCGCCTTTTTGACAGAACTCAAAACCCCCAGAGCATTCGGAAGACCGCCATAGATAGTCTTACGAAACTCTCACGGCAAGTCAACGTATCTGACTTTGCTTCTTTAATGGTTCATTCCCTGTCCCGCGTTGTTGCGGGCAACGATCGAATGTTGCGACAGGCCGCTATGGATTGTATCTGCGCTCTCATTTTCCAGTTAGGCCAGGATTTCAGTCACTACATCCATCTTCTGAGCAAGGTTATCAAGCGTCACCAGATCACTCATGTCAATTATCATATTCTAGTGACAAAATTACAGAAAGGAGACCCACTTCCGCAGGATCTTAACCCTGATGAGAATTATGCAGCCCTAGCGGATGATACCAACTTTGCCGAAATTGGACAGAAGAAGATGGTTGTCAACCAGCAGCACTTGAAGAATGCTTGGGATGCCTCTCAAAAGTCGACGCGTGAGGATTGGCAGGAGTGGATACGTCGATTCAGTGTGGAACTTTTGAAGGAGTCACCTTCTCCAGCCTTGCGTGCATGTGCCAGCCTAGCTGGAATTTACCAGCCATTAGCAAAAGATCTGTTTAATGCTGCCTTCGTATCCTGCTGGACTGAGTTGTATGACCAATACCAGGAAGAACTTGTTCGGTCGATTGAAAAGGCACTCACGTCACCCAATATTCCTCCTGAAATCTTGCAGGTTTTGCTCAACCTCGCTGAGTTCATGGAGCACGACGACAAAGCTCTCCCCATTGACATTCGCACACTTGGCAAATATGCCGCCAAGTGCCATGCATTTGCAAAAGCTCTTCACTATAAAGAACTTGAGTTCGAACAAGATCAAAATTCGGGTGCAGTTGAGGCTTTGATTACCATCAACAACCAGCTTCAACAATCTGATGCTGCCATTGGTATTCTTCGGAAAGCCCAAGCTTATCGGGATGTAGAGCTCAAGGAAACCTGGTTCGAAAAGCTTCAGCGCTGGGAGGAGGCCCTTGCTGCCTACAAGAGACGTGAGAAGATAGACCCGGATTCCTTTGGCGTCACAATGGGCAAAATGCGCTGTCTGCACGCCCTTGGCGAGTGGAAGATATTATCTGACCTCGCTCAAGAGAAGTGGAATCAGGCCTCATTGGAACACCGGAGAGCCAT